GATGGGTGGTTATATTGCTGTAAAACATGGACTGCCGACCGACCGGCCGGCCGGTAAGCTGCCATGTGGGGGCTTTTCTGGAAAGTCTCAAGAGAGCTTAGCCATAATCAAAAAAAAAAAAAAAGGAGCAAAGGGAACAATTGTGCTATAGATACTGTGGGATATAAAATTTTTGGCGCCATTTGGGTTTGGGTATAGTGGAAATGGGGAACAAAAAGGAATTTGGTAATGACAGCTAAACACACACACACACAAGATATTTAAGGATTGAAGGTAGAGATAAAAAAGAAATCCCTTGCCATGTTGGTAACAGATAGGCATCTTGAAATGGGTTTTTCAAAAAAAAAAAAAAAAAAAAAAAAACAAGAATTATAAAAAAATGCTACTGTCATTTAAAATTTAAAAAATATATATATTTTTTAATTTATCATATAAAATATACTAAAATTAATTAAAAACTGGTCGAGTTTAGATTTTTTAAATTAAATCTTTTTTATATTATCAAAGAAGGTAATAACAAATTTAATTCCAAAAAAATGTTTTTTTGGTTGCCATGACTCAATGGCAAAAATTTTGCGTGTGGTCCCATAAAAACGTCGTTTTTTCTAATTTATTTTGCGTAACGACGAAACACAGCCGGCAGAAAAAAAACGCACACAAAATAAAAGTGATAATTAAAGAAAAATGTTTGCGTTGCCACTTGCCATTTTTGGGAAATTTTTTATGGCTTGAGAGGCGTACAAAAATCAACTAGGCCTCTATGAGGGTACTTCCCAGTGTAAATTATTTAGTTTTTTTTTTTTTTTTTTTTTTTTTTTTTTTTTTGAAAGTAAATACGTATGTATATATGTTTGTGTGTGTGTGATGTATATAAACAAAAACTGGGCAAAAGCAAAAAAAAAATGCTTAACATTTCTTCAGTTATATATTTGGTAAGTACTTTTTTGAAACAAGGAAATTTGAAAATAACACTAAGCAACACAAAAATAGGGAAATTACAGGAAAAAATTCAGCAGAAGGTAGGCACTAAAAATGACCAAAGTGTCGATCACCTCAAGAAAGCGCTTCGCCGAGAATGGGCCAAAATACTACAGAGCAGCATTCGGGCAGTGTGTGACGGTTTCGTTAGCCATTTGAACGCCATAATTCGTACCAAAGGTGATCAATTTGAAAAAATCTAAACTTATTCTAAAATTTGATGCTATTTCCGATATTTTATGAAAAATTATGGCGTTTGACTTTGTTGTATATATCTAGGTATAATAGGTTTTAAGAAAATTCCATTCGAAATTTATATATTAGAAGTGGGAATATAATAGAAAATAAAAAAAAGTGAGATTTCAAGCACAAGTATCTACAAATATAATTTTGGAAGGGGCCCTGCAGCCCAAAATCATTAAAAAATTAAGAATTGGCCTTTATAAAATAATTTTAAATAAAAAATAATAATTTTAAATAAAATAATTAAAAACAAAAATTACTCTGATAGTCATATTAAAAATTCTCTATTTCAATCTTTCAATTTTAAATATACAAATGTATCACAATAGCTATCACAACAATTTCCTGTGCTTAGAAAAAAAAAATAATTTTTTTTCTTATGATCTTTAAATTAAACTACAGCAAAAAAAATTTAGAGAAAAAAACCCAAACACCGAAAAAATTGTTAATTCACAGAATTTAGAGCGCCTAGCAACTAAATTTGCTTAATTCAGCATCTTAAGAGCTACTAAATAACATGATTGCCGCTAGGTAAGAGTATGAGTGAGAGACAACACCCCGGCTGCCGCGGCGAACTCGACAACGACATACTCAAAACAGAACTCACAACGGTTCGGCCATAGACCAAAATCAATTTAATTCTTTTTTTGCAGCAGTGGAATGAAAACAAACCCAATTCTTGAGTCCACACCTTGGCACCTTCCCATACCCCCCTCCGGCAATCTAAAAAAAAAATACTACTACGGAAAAATATTGCAACGTGGCGGCGGCTGACTGCAGTAGTAGTAAAGCAAAAAAAAACAAAACATATCAAAATAAAAACAAACGCTAAAATGTGCAACAACAACAACCAGCATACACTGCAAAAATATATACAAATTTTGTTGTTGTTGTCTCACAGAGATAAAAATACAAGTTTGTTTTGTGGCGATACAACTACAACACAAAGATAAACAAATACTCTACGCTGAATGCATTCCGAGTGCAAAAAAACGCTTTTTGCAATTCTATAGAGTAAAGATAGCTAGCTAGCTAGCTGGCGGAGCGTCGTCTTCTTCTCCTAGTCGTCACGAGAAAAGTGCAAAAAATGAATGACGTTGTTGTGGAGGTCTCGTGTGTGTGCTATGTGCCCGTCGTGATGTATTGCAGTGAATGGCATAGTGTGTGGTGGGGCTCTTTGAGTATCTGTATCTATCATGTCTTGAGGAAACCTCGACATATATCCCCCCAATACCCATACATACACACGACTTGGTTGTATCTACTACTACGACGACAAAACGATGTCGACGCAGCACATTTTGTTCGTCGTCATCAAACGTCAATGCATTGCAATTGTACTTTTTCGCGCCAAAAAGCAATCGGCAAGACGATGGCTGGCATTACGATGCAATGTGAGAGTGAGAGAAGGAAGCCAAGAGAGCAGGGGAGACCCTCCACTATGTGGAATGTTACACTACTGTGGCCCCAAAGTTGCAGCAGCAGCAGCAGTAGTAGTAGCTGTAGTATAGAGCAGTGAGCGTAGCGTAATAGTACAGTAAGAATCATAATCAAGCTATGACACCCCCCCTACACCTCCCACGTTTCTTTTAAGCACATCTCTCAAAGGCCCCTCCACCCAACCAAGTCATTCACAAAACCCATACTACAGCCTCCGTTCTTAGTGCAAACTATTATGCGTGGGGGGTGGGATGATAGAAGGTGGAGAACCCACGCCTTTATGAATTATAAAAGCGCATGTCTGGCTAGTCAGTGCAGTCAGACAGAAACACCAGACAATTTCCAAAAACACAATATACGCAAAACTATAATAACACAAAATAGTGAGAAGAGCGCATTGCAATCAGGAGAGAGTGTGTGAGAGAGAGAGAGACACCGGTTGTTATACACGTGTGCGTTTGGGTTGGGGTAGGCCAAAGTTAAAGGCAGAAAATGCAGAGCTTTTAACAATTACCAATTACCAAAAAAGAAAACTTATTGACGTAAACCCCCCAAAATATGCTACAATATTTTCAACATGTCATTTTGGCATTTTACCAAGAAAATAAAAACTCACCGAAAAAACAATTGGGTGTAACCACCGGCATGACAAAAAATACCGAACACAAATCTCTTTTTTGGAGCAACAAAAAAGTGGGGCCTACTTTAAGGCGTTGTAAAGCATATGACATGCGCACAAGAAAGAAAGAAAAATGCCATTAAACTGAGAGTTTAAAGAACACAATGGATATACAAGCGACGACCTCGCCTTAAGAGAAAACGCCTAATGCTAGGCAATAGTTTTGCCAACAAAATACGAGTAAGTACACCACATAAATCTTATTAAGACTTGGGAAAAAGGCGCCAAAAATCTTAATGTGGGCATTTTTTTTTTTCTTTTTTACAACAGTTTAGCTATTGAATTTTTAAGCATTCAGCCAGACGCCTCTGTGCTTGTTTTTTTCGTGTTTTTGTTTTAAGAGTAGAATGTCGCCGTTTTTAATTGTACTACAACTTGCTGGTGCTGCTGCTGTTGTTGTTGTTATTTTGTGATTCTACACTTTGTGGACTTTTGAACTTTTGTCATTTTCTTTCGACTTTTCTACTGTGTAGCATGCAGGAGAGAGAGATAGACAGAGTAAGGGGAGCGAGTACAAAATACGTCAACTTGTGCCCACTTCTGTATGCCGCATCGATTGCCGGTTCTCTGTGCGGTTGAAATGTGGGCTACAACAATAAACCAAGTATATAAATATACTAAGGTTTTAATAATTTCACAACCTTACGAAATATATGATATACACGTACAAATGAACATTTTATAATAAGAGTGAGAAAGAGGACGACAAAGGGCGAGGGGGCAGAGAAATGAACGACAAGTGGAAATGACTTGAAACTTCTTAATACACAGGGAAAAAATTGGGAAAAATGAAAATGAAACTAAAATTAATAAAAAAAAAATATGAAACATAAAGAACTGGCTAATGATTTCAAAAAAAAATACTCCTTACTTCCTGATGCACAAAAATTAGGAAAAATTTTAAAATTTATATATAGTTAAAAATTTAAGCCAAAAATAAAAAATAAGAAACTGGCAAACGATTTTGAAAATAAAAATAAATTAATTAAATCATAAAAAACAAAAACTGAGGAAACATTTTAAATTTTAAAAAATATGAATAAAAATAATAAGAATTATTTTCCATTTTTCTTATTATTTTTATTCTTATAAAAATGGCAAACGTAACTCGTAAAAAATTAAAAATATTAAATAAAAAAAAGGTGACATACAATTTTGAAAATTAAAAAATACGATTTAGAAAATGTAAAAATTAATCTTTACTTCCAGATACACAAAAAATATAGAAAAATAAAAACAAATTATCGAAAATAAGAAAAAGATTATAAAACATTTAAATATAAAAAAAAAAACTGACAAACGATTTTGTAGAAAAAATAGTCATTACTTCTTGATGCACAAATTTATTTAAAATTAAATTAATAAAAATAACAAAAAAATTTAAAAAATTGGATTATAAAAAATTGGCGGAACTTAGAATTTCTTGATACACAGGGAGAAAAAAATATTGCACAGCAACAAAACCATTTGGAAAGCAGCAATTTTTTTGCAATCAAATATTCTCAACATGTTACTTCCTACCACACACACCACCCACCCACCCCTCACCCTCACCCTGTTGCAACTTTCCATTCAATATCCCTCATTTTTAAGAGATAAACAAAAAAAAATAAATAAAAACAGAGCAACAAGAAAAAAATGTTTGACTTGACCAACTCACCGGAATCCGAAGGTGTCTCCAAATTTGTGCTAATATCATCCATGCCATCCTTGCTACGGGTATAACTATGATCACTGTGCTGCATATAGTTGTGTGTGGAGGAGCCGATATTTGATGACTGACTTGAGACCGGTGAGGCAGCAGCGCCACCAAACACCACTTCGTGGTCTGACATCGATGCGGTACTGTCTTCTTCATCCGAATCATAGTCGAAGAAACGCGTTGACGAACTACTGTTGCCATTGTGTATTGTTGTTGTTGTTGATGATGGTGACGTCGTTGTGGCTGATGATTTTGTTGTTGTTGTTGTCGATGTCGATAACGTTGTTAAATCAGTAATGTTCGAATTTATCACATCCAAAACTTCGGTAAGGGAACAGCCACTGATCAAACGTGTATCGATTTGTTTTTTACTGGTATCCTGCAGTTCTTGGCTAATATTACTGATGAAATTGGCATGATGATCAGGTGTTAGGGAAATCTTATTGCTACCAACGATGCAGGCACCCAAATCAACATTGTGGCGGAAATCTGGTACCGAAGAATCATCATCCAAACTGTGTGGGGTATCGGGTCGTTGGTAGATCGACGACGAGGAATTGCTACTGCAATTGCTGATGTTAAGGGAGGATAGTGACGACACCGACGACGGTGACAAGCAGGTGCTGTTTAATGCCGTGCGTAATGATGACGATGTGTTGTTGTTGCGATTCTGTTGCAATTTCTTGTTGTTACGTAATAATGAGGTACCGGCTGGAATATTTTGAATGTTTGTTGTTGTCAACTGTACCTTGGTGTTGGGTATACTATGGGGTTCTAAATGTTGTTCCAAATCCTGCTCCTGTTTGATGTGTAGAATTTCGCCCATGCTATTGAATTTCTTGGCCGTGACCACAGTCGGTTGTGGTCTGTGTTGTTGTTGCTGCTGCAGCTGCTGTTGTTGCAGGGGTCTGTGTGCATGGCCCATAACCGCAGAGGGTGGGGCAACCGAAACAATATCACTCGATACCGAAGATGCAGATGTGCTCAAGATCTTACTATTGGGTGCTGACCACATTAAATCTGTATTGCACACTTCGGGTTTGACATCAATTTCATCCAGATCCATCGATGCAACACCATATGTATCGTTATAGTGATCGGATTCAAATTTCTGTATATCGCTGTGGATAGAGGGCATGCTTTCTAACAGATCGAATGTATCGGCACTAGTGCAGAATTCATCGGGGAAGGAGATGGGCCCAAAATCGCTAAAAGAATAGGTTGGGGGCGATGAGCTATACGGAAAGCAAAGTTTGGCCATTGTGTCTAGTTGTTGCAGTTCCGAATTATCACAAATAAATAAAATGTTGTGTTGGTAGCTTTTAGAGTTTAGCAAATTGTTAGCTCCGTTGTTTTCTTGTGTTTTTGTTGTTGTTTTTTTAATGGTAACGACGAAAATGTAAAAAATATTTTTTGATGTGTTATATGCTATTGTATGTAGTAGGTATATATATTTAATATAAATATTGGGTTTTGAGAAGATACCAGATCCTCTTGTTGTATTTTGTTTTTTATAGTTTAATCAATAAACTGAAAATAGAAGAGAAGAGAGAAAACCAGAGTTATTATTTGGAAAATAGCTAAATTTATTAAAAAAAATTTATAAATTTTTTTTTTTATTATTACCCTATATTATTAATTTAATTTCCTTTGAATTCCTTCCTATTTTTTCACTAGTCACCTTTTATTTTTAGTTTTCTTTATTTTATTTAGTTTTTCATCAATATTTTCATGTATTCTCCCTCAGCTTGGCAACCCTACAAAATTTTCCAATTTAATTACTCTAATAACAACACATTTCCCACTAAACACCCACATATGCATTGATTTTAAAGCTCTCATTTGACATTTTCATAAGTACGCCTTTAGCCGTTATGTTTCATACAATAACATCCGACACTCATCCACTATTAAAACGGGGAAGTAGAAAAAAATCTCTGCATTACAATCTCTAAATGTGTCGTCATAACACAGACGGCCAACCGACTCAACGGCCATCAAACGTCATCGACGAGACCCTCCCACACATGGGTGGTGGTGGTGGTGATCGATTGATTAGTAGTAGTGGTGGCAGCATACATGTGGGTGCAAAAAATTACATAGATCCGCTAACCTCGAGACATTTAATAATTTCTCTTCCTTAAACGGCACACCATAGAAATGTGACTAGAACTCTCTTTGCTTCCCCCAAAAATAAAGAGATATCCCCACATCAACAACAACAACAGTAACAAACAGTAATGCATTGTTCTTTGTGCCAACACTGCAGTGGCATAACAACACAATACAATAGAGAAAGGAAAGGCTTGAGAATTGATTGCTGGCTTTGTGGAGAGGGAAAAGTGGAGAAGTAAAATAAAGAGCAAAGATTTAATGCAGGCACAGGTTTGATTGAATTATTTGCAATAGGCAGAGTATTGTTGCCATTTAGAAAGAGAGAAGAGCAATGTGGGGAGTTAAAGTACAAGGTGTAAAACTGTCTTGTTGTGTGGCCTGGCCAGGCAGCAAAACAAACAATAAAAACAAGCATGAAATAGGAAAACATATGTACCCATGTTACAAAGGTTATGTGGCTATAGAAAACAAGTGAAAAGAAAATATTAGTTGGGGGCTTTCGCGCTAAATCAATTGTTAAGTGTAAATGGCTTGTCTGATGATGCCATACAATGACACACCTCCCCGTGGTGGGGGTTACTTGTTTTTCAGGGATTCCTTTTCGCATTTTTTTGTTTTTCTATTTCACAAAAACAACAAAACCGTCTAACTTCACAATGCCAATGTGTGTGTGTGTGTCACAATGATGACGCCGTTGTAATGTTATTGTTTTGTGTTTATATGTTCTGTGCTTTGGTGGTGGGCGTTTAGTGGCATTTTGTTTTAAATAACTGTAATTCGTTGTTTTGTTTTTTTTTTTTTTCCTCCAATACTTAAACGATTTTAGCTTTTGTTTTGCACAAAACACGAACATTATTATTATTCTTTTTTTTTTTTTTTTTGAAATGTTATGTTATGGTGTTGTTCTGGTTTTGGCGCTAGGTATTTCGGCGCCTAGTTAAGACCATTTGATCAGAAGCACACACAGTGGCTAAAATTCGTTAGGTGGGATTATTGACCAATTGGACAGACAGACAATACGGGTACTTGGAAGATAATAATCATCTGCCTGACTGACTGTTGTTAGCAGCGTTTGATCAGTTATTGTAGATGAAAATTTCAAGATTTAATAGATAGAATTATTCAATGAATAGTATTAATTAAGATTAGTAATGCCTCCCCCCAATGACTTGTGAACGTCACTTTCTATATGGGCAACAGCAATCTGTGCATGCATGAAATTAATAAGAAAAAAATAATATTAATGAGTTCGTAAACATTATGATAATATTTTTTTGTTTTGTAAATACCAACAATTCTTGGAATTTTTAATCAAAGGAATTTTTAAAAGCGGGAAAAATTATGAGAAATGGCGATAAAAATATAAACAAGATATTGTCTATAAACAAACAAAATTAATTAGAATTTTGTTATGAATAAGGAATTGCAGAAAAAAAATTAAATAATTTTTCTAAAAAAGAAAAATATATATGGAATAAATTTAATTCCCACCGCACTTTATCCATAACATCATATCACAAAGCACAAGAAAAAAGGTAAATAAACAAGACTGACTGACTTCATTTCGTTATTCCCTTTTGCGGGAGTGGGTACTCTCTGTCCAATGCAAGAGAGATAGAGAGAGAGTAAGTTATTGATCTCACTAACAGTACTGTTGGGGGAGGATAAATGCATCAATTGCTAATTGAGATGGATGGAGAGTAGGCAAATAGATGCAATGTTGCTACAATTTGTTTTGATGAGGATGTTGTTGGTAAATTTTCGTATTCGTCGTCGTCGTTGTCGTCGTGTCTGCTGGGTGAATACGATTGGCAAACAAAACAACAAAATAAAGATGCAATCGATCATCATCGACAATAACAAATGCCACTACTGCAAAGGAATTTTGTGTGCCGTTAGATTTTTGTTTTGCATTTTTGTTTTATTATTTTGGTTTCCACAAATGTGTTTGTAGGCGGCAATTGTTTTCTTTTTGTTTGGGTAATGTTATACACTGTGGTTTGAAGGCGGTATGTTGGTTGAGAGTTTTTGCATAAATGTAAACACAGAGAAGTGATCAAAATTTTAACTTATTTAGGAAAATAAAGGGAGCCCGATGATGAGACGATTGAAACGTTGTTTGTGGAAATGCAAGAATCGGTACAGTTAACTAAATAAAATTATGAGTTAAATTATTAAACGATTTAAGAAATAAGACAAATTATTGCTGGTAGTTTGTAACGATTATTAAACATAAACATTGATCGACTTCAAATTCAAAAATTTAGTTTTTTTTTTTTTGAATTAAAAAAATACTGACCGACTTAGAAATCAAAATGTAATGTTTTTATTTTTCTTTTATGTAAATTAAGACCTTTATTTTGGATACAATTTTAGTTGCAGTTTTTAAAGGTGCTAAAATTTTGAAAAATCTCATATATATATGCAAGCTTAAAAAAAATAAATAAATTTTCAATAATAATTATTTGAACAATTTTTGTGATAAACAAATTTACAAATATATTTTGTTATTTCTTCCTACAATTTGCCTTTATGGAATTTACTTGAAAATAGAACATTGTTAAAAAGATACAATATAAATTAAAAAAAAAAATTGGAAATTTAATTCAACATTAAAAATCAATAATTTTTTTTTATTATCCTTGATCAAATTAATAAAATAAATGATTCTGCATATTTTTCTAATTTTGTCATGGGACAACTATTACCACTTTACGAAAAAAAAAATAAATTAATTTAATTTCACCTTTCTTATAGCATAGACTTGATGAAACAAAATTGACTTATTAAAATTGAAGATATTTTATTAAAAAATTGAAATGCCAAATAAAATCGCACACTAGTTTTGAATATAAAAAACAATAATAATTTGATTTTAAATTAAAAAATTGACAACAAAATTTTCATTAAAAAAAATAAATTTAATTTTAAATTTAAAAAATTGACAAACATTTTTTTATTATCCAAAACAAAATAAAAAAAGATTTTGTGCAATTTCAAATTTCACAAAAGAACTAGAGGCACTACCACCCACTTAATTTGCAAAATGTTATAAATTTAAAAAAAAAATCTAAGCACTTTTTTCTATATGCGAACTATACGAGAATTCATTTCAAATAAGGTCTTCAAATAATTTTTTTTTTTTAATTAAATCAAATATTTGAATATCAGATCATTAAGATATAAGATTGAGATATCAGATCATTTTTTTTTAAATCAATTAGCTGTACAATGAAGCACAAACATTTTACATTTCCAGACCAAACGAATTTAGAATTTAGTACCATTTAGTATAGATGTTACACTTAGTCCAAAAACACTGATTTATAATCAATACTACTTCGCAAATTTAATTTTTACACCAAAATTTCAAGATTATAACTGTATCTGTTCACTAAATACAACATCGTAAGAAAGAAATCCTTAAACTCCTAGTCCAAAAACACCTTCTACACATGAAAAGTCTACACACCGAATTTCCAAAATTACTTCCATACCCCAATCGTACAATCCCATAGAAATTATATTTCCAAATTTTAGAATTTCAGCACTATCGGTTTAACAAAATTTCAATTTGTACCAAATTTAGTACAGACACAAGTACGAATTTCCAAAGCTTCGCACATATCCCAATTTTACACTCCCACGGTAATGCGAACTTCAGGATTCTAAGCTCTATTGGGGTTCACCAAAATCCAAAGTTGTACAAAATTTAGTACCATTAACAGTACACATAAGTACAAATTTCCATAACAACCTGCATCATAGAATCCAATAGACGCATCGTATTTTCCAATTTCAGGATTCCAATTCTACCGGTTCTCCCAAAATCGAAATTGTACCAAAATTTAGTACCACTTAGTACACATAAGTACGAATTTTTAAAAATTCCTACATACCCTAATACTACAATACAGTAGTAATTTAACTTCCAAAATTTCTTGCAAATATCGAATGTAGCTGTTATATTAGGGTCTATACGACGACATGGACCTGCATAGGTAACTTTTGTTACAATATTCAAATGCTAAACTTAAAATCGGTGAATAATGTATCATTCAAAATACCGAATATCGAGAGGTACCGTTATATGGGAGCTATACGAAGACTTGGACCTGCACAGATAATTTTCTGTCTTAGCCTGAAGTATCCATTACGAACTTCAAATACCAAATTTGAAATAATTCCGGTGAATAATGTCGCTAAAATCATCAAAATAACGAATATATCGAGAGGTATGGAGGCTATACCAAAACGTGGTCCTACATGGTCCATTTTCAATACCAAAAGTTCTGCAGACATAATATAGATTTGAGTAAAATTTTTAAAACTACTTAAATTCGTTCGGAAGCTAGAGTGATTTCCATGGACGGGCAGAAGGACGGACTTCACTAAATCGACATAGAATTTTAAATTTTAAAACCGCTTATGCTCACCTTTTGTTTTTTGTCTTATTGTTTAAGGCTAATTCAAAAAATAAATAATAATTTTTATTTTTCTAGATAATCCAAATGTTGTGTTGCTGCTATATATTCTTCTCCTTTTGTTTTGTTGCTGAATAGGTATATAGTTGTGGTCAGGATGCGGTGCTGGTTGCGAGGAAGTTGAAAAAAATAATCCTTCGTGTTTAGCAAATAAAGCGGGAACTTTGTTGTTTTTTTTAGGTCAATTTTGGTTTGGGGTTAAATAAAAAAGAATTTCAATTTTTTATTAATTCTTAATTTTTTCTCTTTGTTTTTCGGTGTGTGTTTCACTTTAGTTTTTGTTTCCTTTCCTTTTTTCTTTTACTAACTTTCTTTGCCTTCGTTATTTATTATATATTCTCTTGGCTTGGTTTGTTTATATTTATTTGCTGGTTTTGTTTGTTGCTGCTGTTGTTATAATTAACTGTAAACACTTTGTTTTCTTTTATGCTATGTGCGAGCTTAGATGTTGTTGCAATTCTTTTTTTTTTCTTTTCTTTACTGGAACACAAAACTACAGATGTATAGTTTTGTAAATTATGTGATTTTCTTGTTTTGTTTATTTCTTGCTGCCAAAGAGTCTTGGCTGGTTTCAATTTTATTTTTAATAAAAAAAAAATATTTTTTCTTAATTTGGCGGTCAAAGTATTTTAACAATTTTTTTCCGCTTTAATATTTTGTTGCTGTTTTTATTTTCAAGTTTGTTGTTTGTCATCAAACTAGGCATGACCACGAAAATTAATTTTTTTTTAATTTTTCTTTTTTTATTAAAATATTTTCCTTTAATTTTTCACAAAACACTTCACCAAACAGCCTCCAATAGTTTCCACTTGAATTTATTTATTTATTTTTTTAGTTACTTGTTACTTTCCGGGCGTAGCAATTTTTCAAATAAATCTGTAATATTTCTTTTTCTCATTTGCTTCTTATTCGAGCTTTAAATATTTTCACTACTAGAGGAGGGTTCTACTCTTGATTTGATTTTATTTATTTCTTTTTTTTTTTTTCAAAATTTTATTCACATTGGGCTATCCGCGCCTCGGTCACACTGTGTTGTTGTGGGTTTTGTGTTGGAAAAGGAAATGATTTCTTGTTTGAGATTTGTTGTTAAGTTTTGGTTGCTTGCTGTATTTTCTGTGAGTCTGACAACATACGGGGGCCGGTCGAGCCGAACGAACACACACTATGTAGTAGTATTTCTATTTTTTTTTTATTATTATTATTATTATTACCATCGGCACAGCAACAACATTGACTTGTTCTTTTACACCGACAAAAAGTTCTCACGAAAGAATTTTGCGCTCGAGCACGACGACGAACGACGATGAAATATTCTTTCTATAATTCTTCTTCTAGTTGTGATTTGTGTTGTGTGTGTGTGGTGTTGTGTGAACACACAAAATGACACTATTTCTTCTTCTTTTAGCTGGTGGCTCACTAACTGAGTGAGTGACGGGCGGCAACGACACGGCGACTGTGTCTGTGTCTCTTCAGCAGTAGTTCTTATTGAGTTCTGAGCGCGCGTATAGCAATGTACTGAAATAAAAAGAGGCAATAGTGTTCATCCACGACGGGCTTGTCTAGAAAGTCCCTTTTTATTTATAATTGTTGTTGTTGTGGCTAACAATTTCTTTTCTGGTCTTCTTAAGTTCAGCAGTTTGTTGTTTGCTGATTTGCTTAAGTTTTATTTTTTCGTTTTCGTGTGAACAATATATGCGCGCACACACACAGAGGGCGACCGCTAAAGGAAAAAAGAACGCAACACCACACGACCGTTCACATGAAAATCCCACAATGAAGTGTCGATATGAACGCGCCAAAGGTGTCCGCAACGTAGTAGTACAGACAGACGACCGTCGACAGCACTCGAAACACGAACTCACACTCAAACACACACGGAGGACTTCATCAAACACACACAATTTACTTAGTTTCTCTCTCTCGCTCTGACGTAAAAGCAATCCCCAAGGCAAACTCACTCATTCACACAAACATCAATGACCGTAAAAAAAAAACAGAGAGAGCGAGAGAAAGAGAGACCTCCTTCGCTCAAACGAGCAATGTGTACATGGGAATTTGTGTGTGTGCGCCACTAAATGCCGGTTTATTTACTTTTTGGAAAGTGATATAAGCATAGATGGGCAAGAATGCACGGCATGCTAGCGTTGCTGTCTCTTATGCTCTGCCATGAGTGAAACATCAACAAACAGACATGTACGAATCATTTTCAGCAATTGTTTTTATAAAACAATTTATGAGCTTACTTTGATTATATTTTTGCCTAAAAATTATTAAATGTGTTAAAATTTAATGCTGGAAAGTTACTTCAAAACTCTCTTAACAATATCTCTTTCAATATTTTACCCATCTATGTTAAGGATTCCACAGCAGAGTATTTAACCAAAAATCAGTTTGTTTTCATTTGCGGCTTCCTGAGTAACGGAATTTAATTAAATGAGTGAAAGAGAGAGAGAGAGAGAAAAAGAGTGATACGCTCTTTTGGTGGTTTTTAAATGAGAAAATTTAGTAGTAGATTCTTTTTTCATATTTGAATTTTAGCAAAACAAGAAAGCAAAAAGGACTGAAAAATAAAAATTGTCAAAAATATTCTTTAAAAATCAAGGATTACTGGTCTGCTGGTCCTTGTCAAAAAAATGTTATAAAATTTCACGCTTGATCCTTGTCAAAAATATTCTTAAAAAATCAAGGCTTCCTGTTTTGCTGGTCCTTGTCAAAAATATTTTAAAAAAAGTATCACGCTTATTGGTCTGCTAGTGCTCGTCAAAAATATTCTTTAAAAATCCACGCTTGGTCCTTTTCAAAAATATTTAAAAAAAAAGTATCACGCTTATTGGTCTGCTAGTGCTTGTCAAAAATATTTTAAAAAAAAGTATCACGCTTATTGGTCTGCTAGTGCTTGTCAAAAATATTCTTTAAAAATCCACGCTTGGTCCTTGTCAAAAATATATTTTATAAAATATCACGCTTATTGGTCTGCTAGTGCTTGTCAAAAATATATTTTATAAAATATCACGCTTATTGGTCTGCTAGTGCTTGTCAAAAATATATTTTATAAAATATCACGCTTATTGGTCTGCTAGTGCTTGTCAAAAATATTCTTTAAAAATCTACGCTTGTTCCTTGTCAAAAATATTGTTTAAAAATCTACGCTTGTTCCTTGTCAAAAATATTGTTTAAAAATCTACGCTTGGTCCTTGTCAAAAATATTCTTCAAAAATCTACGCTTGGTCCTTGTCTAAAATGTTCTTTAAAATATCAAATATCAAAAATTTTATCTCTATGGAAGGACGTTTCCGAACACATACTCCCAATTTACAACCGATCATCGCTCTCCGCTCGTATTAATCGACCGTGGCATCAAAATAAATGCCGAATATTATCGCGAAAATATTCTAGAGGGTCTATTAGAGGCTTGGGCACGCAAACATTTTGGCCGCAGAACTTGGACATTCCAAGAGGACTCAGCACGCGCCACCCAAGAATGGTTACAACATGAGGTTCCTCACTTCATTTCCAGGGCACAGTGGCCACAAAAATCTCCGGATACCAATCCGTTGGACTATTGTGTTTGGAGTATTTTGGAAAGCAATGCTGGCACTAATAATACCAAAGTGTCGATCATCTCAAGCAAGCGCTTCGCCGGGAATGTGCCAAAATACCGCAGAACAACATTCGAGCAGCTTGTGACGGTTTCTTGGCCATTTGAAGGCCATCATAATTCGTGCCAAAGGTGATCAATTTGAAAAAATCTAAACTTATTCTAAAATTTAATGCTATTTCCGACATTTTATGTTTTCCTTCAATAAAATTTAAAATAAAAAATGTAAAAATTATGGCGTTTGACTTTGTTGAAGTTTTTTTAACTCACCCTGTATAACTAAAATCAAGGGATTCTAAAGAATTTTTATTAAAAATGTCCAAACAAGACGGAAGTGCAAAGTTTCGACAGGCCGATACACGTGTCTTCTATCTTTAGATCTACATTGATAATCTGCTGGATTCTCCCTGCAATTATCAGAAATTTAAATTTTTTGAATCGATTTTTCCAATTTTTTTCATCTAATGACAAGGTTTAGTTTGTCCATTTTCCAATCGGCTCAAGTCTTCTTGGTTGTGCGAATGTTTTTTTTTTTTGCATACCTAGAGCTGCAGTGGATTTTAAGCAAGCAAAAATATTGGTAAATTCAAATCATTGGGCCATGAATGAATTAGAGAAACCCAGGTAGGTTAGGTAATGACTGGTGATTAAATATTTTCGAGAGGGTTTTCCAAAACTATTTTACTTAATATTGTTACAGAGGATTCACATACAGAGGAATACCTACTTTCCAATCCGATTTTACAAATTCAAAATTTTCGCATAGCTTATCTTGCTATTATTGTCTTGATGGTGCTCAATTCTAGTTCAATGGGAATATGGGATTAAAAATAGGTATTTTATTTTAAACAATTTTTTATTTTATTGAACAAAAATAAAAATTTCAAGATTAATTTCAAATTTGAATTAATAAGGTTTTTAAACATTTTCAACATAATACCAATTTACACAACCGTGAGAGTGAAATGTTCACTCTCAAATTAGTGATGACAAATGAACTTTGAAAGTACAATTTTTTGTAACATTTCTGGCTACTTGAATTTTCAACTGAGTTTGTGCTTTCACATCATTGCAATGACAGAGGAGTGAAAAAAGGATTGAAATATAAGTGACAGACGGAGTACATTTTTACACAAAAGGGTGATTTTTTAAGAGCTATAGGAAAGTTAAACAAGTAAAAAAGCTGTAACCTCGTCTGGGTACGACCTTTGAATACCCTCCACCATTTGAAACGAATTTGGCAATTTTCAAAAAAAAAAAAAATAATAATAATAATAATAAATAAATAAAATAAAGTAAAATCCCTTAAAAATTCTATTAAAATCTTGCCATAACTGGACTAAAATCATAAAAATACCGAATATAGGGAGGTACTATTATATAGGGGCTATACCAAAACGTGGGCATGTACAGACAATTTTTTGTCATGGGCTGTATTATCCATTACGAACTTCTAATACGAAATTTGAAACAATTCCGGTGAATAATGTCGCTGAAATTTTGAAAATACCGGATATTGGGTGGTACCGTTATATGGGGGCTATACGAAGACGCGCACCAGCACAGACAATTTTCTGTCTTAGGCTGTACTATCCATTACGAATTTTAAATACGAAGTTGGAAACAATTTCGGTGAAAAATGTCCCTAAAATCATCAAAATACCGAATATTGGGGCATCGTTGTATGAGAGCTATACGATATCGCATATAGACAATTCTCTTCCTGGGGGTAAAGTACTCAGAAAGAATTTCTTGTGCGGATTTTCTGTCACTTCCATTGAAAAATTTGATACAATTATTAATATACCGAATATCGGGAGGTACCATTATATGGGGGCTATACGAAGACGTGGACCAGCACAGTCAATTTACTGTCATAAACTGTAGTATCCGTTAGGAATTTCAAAAAACAATTTTGAAGCAACTCCAGTGAATAATGTCGCTAAGACATCAAAATACGGAATATTGGGAGGTGTCCTTATATGGAGACGTGGACCTGCAAACGCAATTTTTTGCCATGAGCTGCAGTAACCATTACGAAATTTTCCGGTAAAAAAAATCCCTAAAATCATCAAAATACCGTACGGCGATTTTTTGGTAATAGACGTTTATACGAAGACGTGGACCTACATAGGCAAGTTTTGTCATAAGCCATTACAATATTCAAATGCGAAACTTGAAAAAAAAAATCGGTGAGTAATGAAGCTAAAATCCTCCAAAATATATAGGGAGGTGCCATTATATAGGGGCTATACGAAGACGTGGGCGTGCACAGACAACTTTCTGTCATAAGCTGTAGTATACATTACGAACTTCAAATACTAAATTTGAAACAATTCCGGTTATTAATGCCGCTGAAATCATCAAAATACAGAATATCGTAAATAATGTCTCTTAAATCTTCAAAATACGGAATATCGGGAGGTAACATTGTATGGGGGCTATACGAAGACGTGGACCTGCACAGACAATTTTCTGTCATAGGCTGTAGTACCCATTACGAATTTTAAATACGTAATTTGAAACAATTCTGTTAAGAAAAAGTCCCTAAAATCATCAAAATACCGAATATCGGGGGCACCGTTAGCAATTCTCTTCCAGGGGGTAAAGTACTAAGACGGAATTTCTTGTGTGTATTTCCCAACACTTCCATTGAAAAATATGGCTACAATCAGCAAAATACCGAATATCGGGAGATATCATTATATGGGCGACATACGATATCGTGGACCTATTTAGAAAATACTCTCACAGGTGGTAAAGTACTCAGAAGGAACTCCTTTTGTGGATTTTCAGACAATTCCATTGAAAAATATGGCTACAATCATCAAAATGCCAAATATCGGCGGGTACCGTTGTAAGGGGGCTATACGATATCGTGAACCTACGCACACAAAATTGTCTTTCAGGCTAAAGTACTCATGAAGAACTACTTGGATATAACTTTTAGTTTTTCCGAGTCGAGTCCAGAGTTGTAAACATAACTGGTCTGAAGTCGGTATCATATAGTCACTCCTGCACCGAATTTTGTCCATGCCTTTGTTTTATTTATTCATTTTTATTTATTTCATTTATTTATTTATTCATTCATTCATTTATTTATTCATTCATGACATTATGCATTATTTTCATGTTTATCTATTTCCATTCAGTAATTGTACCCATTTTTCGGTCACAGTTACCAAATGTACCAAATCCCTGAAATTCTCATCACTGGTATTTAAAATATACTCTCCAAT